GGTTTTCATGGCTGAATTGGGAATCAAACCCTGGTCTCCAGAGCCGTACTCCAACACTCCAACCACTACGCCATGCTGGCTCATATAGTTATATGTATATGTGAGAGCCAATGTGGTGAAGTGGTTTGAGCTTTGGACTAGGACTTGAGATCTAGGTTCGATTCCCTGCTTGGCCATGAAACACAATGGTGACCTTGGGCAAGTCACACATTCACAGCCCCCCCCCATCATGCTAAGTTCACTTTACGGTTACCATAAGTCAGAAAAGAATTGAAAGCACACAATACCACACACACAAGAGACATATGAATGAACTGAAAGTCTGTAATTATCCCATAGAGAGTCAGGAGTAAATAGTATTGAATTCAATGAGGCTTACTTCTCAATAGGCATGGCTAGAATTGTGGTGGTAAGTAATAATTATATGCACTTAGAAAGTAAGCTTCATTCAACTAGGTGGGAGTTATTTCTGATTTAAACTGCTTAAGGACTGGGTTAAGTGACTGCATAATCTTGTTTCCACCCAGAGCGGTTTGCTGCCTATTTACACCTAAGTCTTACAGTTTTTCAATAGGACTTATTCTCTTATAAGTGTGTTCAAGAATGCAGCTTTAAATAGAGCCCAGCTGTCCTTTAAAAATATCCACTTTAAATATGGATGTATTATACTGGGAATTGTAATTCAGAGACCTCATCATGTTAGTCTGCAATATTAGTATGCAAAGGGATTTTGTAGCACCTTTGGGACTAACTCTGGGAAAAAAGTTGTAGCATAAGATTTCGAAGATTTGGGCTGCATCCTCAACTACAGAAATAATGCAGTTTGACACCACTTTAACAACTATGGCTCAATGCTGTGGGATCCTGGGAACTGTAGTTTTGTGAGACATTTGTTGGTGCCACAACAAACTACAATTCTCAGAATTCTGTAGCACTGAGCCATGAAAATTAAGGTGGTGTCAAACTGGATTATATCTGCAGTGTGAATGCAGCTTTGGTCTACTTCTTCAAATGGAATGGATTGTAATGTTTGCTACAAGAGAGGATGGCATCAAGGGTAGGTTAGGTCAAGTAATATGCCAACAAGGCCACTCAGCTGGAGTCCCCTGGACATCTTTCCATCTCTTCCATCAACCTCCTGCTCTGGCCTGGACAGTTGTGGTGGGTAAGGACAAATGGCAGATGTTACAGACCACTGTCAGTCTAAGGAAATGATGAGGAGTAAGAGAAGCTGGTGACAAGGTTGGGTTATTAACCTTGAGACTATGCAGCCCTCCAAATGTATGCATGGCAAGGGGTTGGACTGGATGGTCCTTGAGGTCTCTTCTAACTCTTATGATTCTGTGTAATCAGACTTCAATTCCAAGCATTCATCACCATTAACCAGACAGGCTAGGGCTACAATTCAACAACAGCTAGAGCAGGGGTAGGCAACCTAAGGCCCGGGGGCCAGATG